ACAAAGTTGCCTGCGTATCTTGTTGCAGTCTTGACCTTTCAGTAAAAATTTTAAGGTTAACAGTACGATCTTAGGATAGATGACTGGACAAATCCGCTATCGCAGCCGGGTGTTTGTACAATTTCGTCATAGTTTCACACAGTCTTACCTAGATCGAAATCCGAAAAGTTTTTGAATGATGCTCATTTTTGGTCATAATGGAGTTAGCGTATTTAATCAGAGTGTGAGTGTAACTCTGATGCGAAGTGTTTTTTCATAAACAGTCATCCCCAACTTCCACACTTGAACCAATAGACACAACTCTCTTGTCTCCCTTTACAACGCCTTGAGATGATCGATGTATCGTCATATCTTCTGATGTTTTGAAATGTTTTTGTCGGGTTATGATAACAATTTCACGCATTATCTATGAAGTATCTTACCTGAAGCCTTGTTCGTTTGTGCTAGGGGAAACCACCGCTGCTGACTCTTGACTCACAACACACGTCTGGAATTTTCGGTCACGCAAACTCATCAGACGAAGGAGGCGGCGGCAGCGGAAAACCGGAAAATGGGAGTTTCACTGAACCAGACAGCGTAAGTTATTGACGTAGATACCATGGCTATTGATCAGGTGGCAGTTGATGTGTTCGCCGAAGTTGGCAGGTGGGCTTGCGAAGGCCGCGCGACCAAACCAGGATGCATTGTCGATTTGCGCAGTGACGATGTATTCCCGAATGGTGACGAGGCTTTCGCAAACCAGTTGTCAAGTTCGGCGGACAAATCAACTGTCACCTGAAAACCAGTAGATTCACCTGACCTGCCGACACTTAGTGCCAACAACATCGGGTTTTTTACGCTCAAAACAGCTCAACGATGGGAGACTTTCGCCTGCTGACAGGCCTTCACGCTACAGTAAACGCCGTGGATTTGCCGGTTCGCAACTAAACGGAGTTGTGATGGCTTGAAAACTGGCACCAAGTAACAAATCCGTTTGATCAATGGGTGGATTGATCACGAGGGTTGTCAAAATAAACATCCTAACCCCTAAATAGGAAGAATTAATGATTGTATTTATTCAACATTCTATTTGGGTGCTTTGTTGTTAACTGTATGGGAGGAGCTCACTAATTCACATTTGGTGACGAAATTACACTTAGATCATTCGACATCGTGGGTTTTGTGCCATCCTAACAAGCACTGAAGTTCCCATTTCGGTTTTTCACAAGCCTCCATAGTGGCCTACGTTCGCCGCGATTTTGAGGGGTATTTATTCAAGACCGAGTCAACCCTCGATTCCTGCTATCCCTGCTGCGTGCTCTGGCCAAAGTGTCAAGGTGAATTCTGCTGTGCCTGATGAGTCTCTGTTCTGACTGTTTTTGGCTGAGAATCCATCTCAAAACGGATCACATGACAGATTCATTGCGTAGCTCAATGCTCACTTAAAAATACACATCACTTTGTACGACTCCTGTTACAGTTAGGCAGTGGATCAACGGTACTCACCACAGTTCAGGCCCGGCATCACCACGTATGGCTAACCCGTGAATGACAGCAATCTCCCCTATGTTTGTTCCACTGAGTCAGCGTAACCACGCTTGCGAAGACAGAACGCTGAAAAAATGACGCAAACCCCGGTTGCAATCGATCGCTGGAAACAACAGGTTGACTTGATGAATTGTAAGGTGGTAAAAAACTATTGCGCGGAAAGCTCTGAAGATCGTGAAGGGCTAGGTTGAATTTTTGAGACATCAATCCATAAGTGGCTCAGAGAATGAATGAAGATGAATGAAACTTCCGTATGAGAAATCGTCACTCGACGATCCAGTCAATACGTGACCATGTGATGTAGATTCCGTGGTTGGGGGATGAACAACGAGATATCCCGTCTACGTGAGAGATAATCGCACTGCTGATCAGCTGGTCGTGACCGAACAATCGTGTTCAAACGACTCACCGGGAGGTCACGTGCCCGAAACATCCCGGAGATTCGTGGGATGCGCACTGATGATGATTCCCAATGAGGTAATCTTCGGCTTTTCAATGTAGATTGACTTTAACTGCAGAACGAAATCTCAATTGAAAGTGAACTCTTATTCGATTTAGTGAGCTACACACTGTTGCAGTTTAAAGCATATTCAAAACGGATTTTCTAACTCGACAAGGGACAATATTTTGTGAGTTACAGAGTGAGTTTTGAGATGTGCTTGGTTAACATGTGTAGACAGTAAGTCTGAGATTCTTGACGGTAGCAATCAGTATCAGAACCTAGTGTTATACCTAAAGCAGAGTGTGATTTGATTCACCACACAGACGACCCGTTTTCCTGGCAAGAATCGACTGAAATTTCCAAATTGTTTTATCCTGGATTAGATGGAGATAAGACAAGGCCACCGTTTTGTGTGTGACCTGTTTCGGACCAGAACACTGTTTACCCTCATGATCCTAAAATGCAGCATGGAGTACAGTAACTCCCTCACCCCGTCTACTTTTGCTCTTAGAGTCAATGACTATTGTACCTGAGAAGCTTTTGTCATTTATCTAGATGCCTCGAAATACAACCATCCTCTGTCGCTCTGGTCATCCTGTTATCACAGCTAGGTCGTCTCACTGAAGCGTATTTTGGGAGTCTTCAGGGGACTGCTTATCTCATCTGACGTTGGTTTATGCCTTGCCTGTTGATGGTATTCTCCTTTCTTTTTGTCTACAGCACTCCGGTCTACTGGGTTCGATGATGCAGGTCTTTCAACGCGTCGGCAGTTCCAGACGTCAATCTAGCGTGTCCAGAACTCTCAGTCCTCACGACCTTGAACAAGCTTCCTCGCGAAGGTCCTCTGCGTCCCCAACCGCTCCGGAGAAGGACAGGTTCCGCGAAACTATTCCTCACGAACACAAACGAGATGCGGAGCAAAAAAGTCACGTTCTAACAGCTAAGTCGGGTGCACAGCGGCGGATGTTGCCTGTTGCTGGGACAAAACCTTCCGCCCCTCCATTAGATGACCGTGGCACAACGAAAAGCATGCAGTCAACAGTAAGTTTAACCTCACTACCATACAGTGATAGGCCATAAGAACCACCCTCTTCTGGTAGAAAATACTGGATGTTTTCCACCTCCGTGACGTTGAACGTATTCGTACCTTATGTCTCAGTTATTTCTACTGGACTCTGATACAAGCAGACAATATCCGAATTTCCATGCTCTTCTACCTCCCGTTCAGGTAGGCGCACGCTTGTCAGAATAAGTCCTCTTTAATGATACGCGACTGTTTCATTGCCGAGGAACCATGATCAACCCCAGACCGATAACAACCAATCGCAACAGACCTGTATATATAGGAAAACGAAACTGACTTAAAACTGTATAATTAAAAGGATAAAATATGCCAAAGTCATTTTCGTTTAACTCTGTGGCTATGGTCGAGAGCTCTATTAATAACGAAACTGTTCGGGAACCAGTCAAATGCGTACCACAAACCTCACAAGTGGGTAATTGTCGGCAGGGGCACAATTCGTCCGCACAGAGTGGCATTTCACGGGAAGTTGAAAGGGTAAATGCGGAAAATGAATTAAAATATAGACCGACGTGGATTGGCGAATATTTTAGTGAACACCGCGGAAATCGTCACATATGCTCACAGTTATTTGTCACCGCCCTACGTGAATTCAAAACTCTTTGACGAAGCGAACCGATATTGCGATCTACCTGAGCTATGGGTGCCTGGGTCGCTAATCATCATTGGTAGTTAATCGTCGCAAATTTTCTATCTAGTCATCCTCTCCTGGGTTCACTGTGAAACCTTTGATTTGTTGACGCGGCATCTCGGTGGTTATGCTGCCCTGCTTAAAGACACCCTACCGCTTCTCCACCCTACTGTTATGCCCATCGGAAACTTTGCCACCGCGAGCCAAAAGTGGTAAATATCTTTCAGCATTCGACCGACTACGCCTCCGAAACCCTACTCGAATCTAACGGTCCCATTGAATCAAAAGGGCTTGGGGCACGTAGAACGGTTCCCTAGGTAGTGACCTCATGCTCGATAGATGAAATTGTGGCATCTCACAGACCGTGTTTATCTGTCCGTGCGTTTCTTCAAAGAATCGCAACAATATCTTATCCAAGATAGCTATATGGCTGTCAGTGCTACCCTGTGAAATATGATCACCCGTCTACTGTCATGTTTGTCCTCTCCTTGTCCTCAAAGAACTACCAAAAACCAGGAATTGTATTGCCTAATTATAAAATGCGTGAGTGTGGTTGCACTAGCCGGCTGATCAGGAGGTAGTTAATCTGTACGCCTAGCTTGATAATTGGTGTGCACCATACGAAGAGACTTAGTCAATGAGCCAGCAGGAACGTATTTGCTCCATCTGTACATGCGTTTATATGGTTTCAAAAGAGTGATTATCTTAACCTGGTTGTTTGTCGAGTTTCGCCTGATTGGCCTGATTTTATTGGCCCGTTTAGAGTCCGTGTTGTGTTGTGGGACTTAGGGTTTTGGAAATATGGAAGATGACTGATCAGTAAAGCAACAAGTTAAAGACAACAACTGAAATATTCAGACGTGAAAATACTCGGAGTGTGCCGATTAACGGCGCTAAAAAATTATTCCAGCTCGAAATCCTGTAACTTCAGCACGGAAAATACCGCCTTGTGGTAATTTCTCCGGTCTTTCGTGAGGATCGACGAGTTAGATACACTCTCTGGCTATTCGCTGGTATCCAGGCTGTATGAGTTGTTTAGTAACCCTGTTATCCCACTGTCTGGCTTGCGCAGACCACTTTTGAACCGTATTGGACGTCATTGCCAAATTAGTTGGAAAGGTGAATAGTTTTTATGGTCATCGAACGAGATCGCTCTTGGGTGCAACCGTACTCAGTCTATTGGGACCAAGTTTCATATGTACATTTAACTACTTGTCCGTCGATCCACGAAGTCCGAGAGTGAGGTTGATCTCTAGGATACTGAAAATGTCCCGATTTGAAGTTAACAGGTCTCTCAAAATTGCGTGGACTATAGCATGCACAATGTGGCTGGGCGGCGTTGTAATTGTGTATGACGAAAATTCACTTTTGACTTGAATTGACTCTTTTGTTCGTGCCTGCTAAGAGTCAGTTATGATCTCCTGAATCTTGTTAGTAACTCTATCCCTTGCAGGGCCATAGTGAAATAATTTATTACAAAAATAGTGCAGTATATCCTCTGTCTCCACTGGACCTCAGTTTCAAGGGTATCGTGAGAAATATGCGCACCAGGAGCCTTTTATAGCCTATGAAAGAAAAAAGTCCTAAAATTCATGTAGTGTGATTTTGTGGTTCATGCCACGGGCAATAAAGCTACCTGACTCTGTTCAGAAGAACGCCCGAGAAATCAAGTTAACCATTGCTATGACCCGATAATGGATTTGATACTATTTAGATGTTCCGTTATTTGTCCCACATGCACGACTGCTTTGTGTAGGACACACTTGTAGTCAACATGACTTCCGTAAAGGCACACTGTGGATTTGCTGCCTCGACTTGTTTTGTAGAATAGTCACAAACATGTCCTCTAAAAGCGACATAAATCCGGGTCAAGTACGTTCACCTGGTCCTCATCACATCAACAGCCAGTTTGCTTGTTTGGTTTCAGCAGAACTTCTCAACCCTACCGAGGCCGGCTGAGCCAGTTTACATGTCGGTTCCGTCCACTACCTATCAACCACCTGATACTGGAATGGAAGACTGGTCTACCTCCGCAGGTCGTCTTACTTCAACCGTGGCTTCGCAACATCCACGGTGAGTGAATGATGAACATTTCTGTTTTCTGTCCGGTTCATCTGGACTAACTAATTACCGAGTGATTACCTACCCCACGCGGGCGGAAACAGACATTCTGTATGTTAACATATCGGCTGGATTGTACTATCCCAATTGGAATGGCAGACCACATTTACTTTATGAAAACCGCTTTGAATTGCAATTTTATGAAGCTCGTATACCCACACCAGACGAGGCTGAAATCGCTCTGTCACGTGCGTGAGTTGTCTTCACCTGTTGATGATCAAACGCAAACTTAGTGTAGAACTCAAACTCTTAGTTTAAAGTATTTCCGCAGCGAGGTTGAGGACGCTGTTGATTGTTTCTCTTATTTTATCCATAATTTATAAAATGCTGACGAACCCCATCTTCGAAGGTATTCACACATTCTATTACACCTTCCAACAGGTAGTCACCCCTAGGTGTAAATAGGAAACCACTGAAACATCTCATTCTTTGAGATCTCTCATTCTTTGTCCACGGGATTGTACCACGTAGGTAGGAAGATGGTTCATTATTGTGTACTTCTTGTACGAACCAAAAACAGAATGCAGTAATTTTCAAAATTAGTTTTGTGACCACCTCTTTGTATAAGGCGCACTAAATGATGCCTTTCTACTGACAAGTACCATTTTTTTGTTTCCAGTTTTCTCCACAAGACATTTCTTTGTAATCCCTTCTTCTCTAGGATAACCCAGAGTAAACGCCACTAGAGCTTCATCATAGACACGATTGGGCTTTTATTCTCATCCACTCGCCAACACCGCTCTGGTGAAGAATGACGCAAAAACTGCACTTCAGACTAAACGTCAAGTGTTCTGCTTACAGTAGCTATCCAGTATGCACGAAAAACGGTAACGCATATTAGTATTGTGAGGATATTTGATAACTTCAACTGGAGCTCGTTTTGTAAGTGAAATCAATATATGCTGATTAGCCGCTGAAAAACACTGCACAGGCTTTTCATCCTTATTGGAAATTATCATATACACGCACCTCACGAAACCCTGTGGAATCTTGAATTTGCTAACTTCCGCCAAGAAGGGACCGCTCCTAAGATGCGTACTTTTCGTGATCCCCAGTAAGGCATGTTTCAGTACAACTCTTGCGGTTTCTTCAAAATGTCGTTCCCTAGGAGATGCATTGTACTTGTTTTACCTGATGCACCGTGGCTGGTCCTCGGGCTCATGAGCTGACTGTATCTGTAAGGAGTCCAGATTTTTGTCTTTTGAGTCCTTGGGACCACGTCCTACAGCACGGAGTATTAAGTACCTCGTTTAAATTGTTTTGTTGTGCACTTCCTGGGGTTTCTTGAGTAAAGTCGAATTTGGTGCATGATCGATCGTATGATATAGGTGCATCCAACAACCAGAATTCACAGAACACGATATATTTCCGAGAACTGCGGAATCATAAATACATACTCCTGTAGATCTGACTGGAAAATCTCAGTGAATCTAACTAAAATCACAGGATCAACTGATTGTGAACTGCGACTGAAATATGTATGCAATAGCACTGCATTTGGCAATGGTTAGCCTTTATGCTCACTGTTATCGGCTCGTGCTAGGGTTCAGATAATAAGGATTGGACTGAGCCAATTGAGATTTGATTTGCTGGAATCTTGCTATTCACTGTCGTGTGTGGATTCGTCGTAAGTTCGATCTTTCTTATTCTGATTGGTTTCGAATCCTTGGGGGACTCACTGTTGACAAAGTGGTTCTGAAAGGACGTGGCGTATGTGTAATCCCGTCAATCAAATGCATCCAAAGCTTGTTGGTTCACAAAAATCCAGACTTCAAGCCTTGACAGACCACCTCGCAGTTGACTACATCTAAGGGTCAGACCTAACCTGACATGTATCTGTTGTTGTGTGCGCGCGCCTTGCTTATCTCCGAATCCCCACGATCACTATCTGGTCGGTATCAACTAATGCATACCTTTTGTTCGTCTCCAGAATTATCCAACTAAGCTGGTCACGCTAAAACCAACTAATGTCTTGTCTGCTTTGTTCTTCCAATGTATTTAGTTGACAAATTGAATTCAGAAGGCCATAGCGCTAGAATTCAACTAGAGGATGCATGGCACCAATCGAGAAGTCATCCTTTTAGAATAGCTTCACAAACAACCGGTGGACTACTCACGAATAAGTACTCATTTTCATATTAACTTACTGTTAACGGATAACTGAATCCGTCGAGCGTAATGATAGTTTACTTACTTGCTGACCAGTTTTTCGATTTGGATACAGACGTTTTATCAGGTTAGGTTAGTGGGTTACCAAATTAGTCGTGCTTTAGGGAAGACGAGGAACCGGTCGGTGAGATTTCTTTCAGCCGCAAGGCCAATTCAATTTGGAGTCGCAGTTGAGCGCTTCTGTTGCTTTGTGTGGGTCGCTCAGACTTTGGGGTGCAGAATGGTTGCAGGCTGTCATCTACCCGTTTGGTTGATTCGTGTGGGTTAGTAAATCCTAGGGCAGTTCACTTAAGAGCTAAGAGAGTGTGAATTTCGGTCGGTTTCAGCTTCGTGCTCGGAATCCAAACCGCTTCTGTTAATAGCCTCTCCTCATTGATAACAACACGCGGTTGATCTGAAAACCCCCTCCACACACTTGCCAGTTCTACGGCCTCTTCTGTTCACACTGGAGCGCTTATTAGTTTCTGCCGCCTGGACATCGGTTGCTATGGCGTAAACCCCAGCTTGTGCCCCTGAAACTGCCGCATTCCCAAATCTTTTCTGTACTTGGCGTGTATGCTGCCATTACGACACATTAACTCGTCCTTGTTGCAGGTTGAAGGAAATCTTACGTGCTGCTTCTCAGCCTGCCAACTCCATAACGTAATGATATCGCTTGTTGTAGCGTTCGGGTAGGAGACGAAACGCCAGCTAGCAAGAAATCCACTAGTCATTGAACAAATTTGATGAAACGGGGTCTGAGTACCTTTAAAACTGGTTGCACGTGACATTCCAGTGATATATTTCGAAAGAGTAGTCGTTGCCTCGGTCTCTCTCTCTAACTGGGTGGTTTTCATTTTGACAAACAATTATTGCTTGAAATTAATGGCTACGTGATTGAACTGCACAGCACCCAAGTGACGCGTCGGAAAGCTCTTGTCCGGCAAAAAATCGCCAGTGATTTGCAACTTGCAAACAGCATGAATGGAGGAACAAATGAAGTTTCTTCTAGTCAACTGAGCAGCTTCTTCACGGCCAAGTGAGAGACTGCTTTCTAAGTGAGGTTATCGACCTCACTCAAGACACAGGACCAGTGCGACTACGATTACGCTTTAGTTGATTCTGTTTGAATCGGTCGAACGCAGATAAGTATGACAATGCAATTACCCGCGTTATCGTAACCAGATGAGCTGTTTTAAGTTTTACAGCACGAATATTCTTCTATCGACCGCCTTATTGACTCAGCCGTAGTGATCCAACACGATCTAGCTGGTTGTTCCGGTTTGAAAATTCTTCGTGTGGTGATTCATAGGATGATGTACGACTCACACTACCTTAGGGATGATTCATCCACACAGTGGTTATCACTGATCTCACTCAAGCAGATTTTTTAAACTACTACAACTTTTTTTAAACTGCTACAATTATGAGGGGGAATCGTGACTTCTAGCATAAAATTTGTCGTTCTATGATGAAAAATTATCACAACAGATGGTTTTCATCTCGAATTGGACCATGTGCAATACGCTGAATTGCTTTCAAATATTGTTTCGCATACAACTGTTTACACTGCGCCGGATCAGACGACAAATAGGGTTGAACTGCCGGTTTTATGGGTATCAAACGGTATACTGGAATACCGCGGAGGTGTCCGATGTTCGTAAGTCCCTTCGCTGACCACGCGCACTCATACTCGACTTGCAGCATTAGACATCTTGGTCATGGTATCTGTTACCACTGGTCATAGGTTGAGACAGTAATCCCTATCAAGGAAGATCACCATAGGAAAAGAAGGCATCTAACATCCCCAAATGAGCACCCTGTCCCTCCCTCTCCGAAGGTCTCACTCCTGAAGGGACCAGTGTGAACATTTAATCATGACCCATATATCTTTTTCGCACTACGCCTGATCTGCAACTGGAGCCGTGTGTCTCTGTACGCAACCCAAAATGGGAGCAAGCCACTCCGCAACCTATCACCCTGACATGTTTGTTATGTCTACATGATTTTACTCTTATTGTTACACTTTACCGACCAAAGAGAGTTCCAGAAGAATAGTGCGGATACTACTAACTGTGGTCACTTTCGAGTGCAACACCTTTGACCTTCACGCTTAGGATACCAAGAATCCTGTATCAGGTTCAGCAATGTAAATAGATAATTTAATCTTTTTTATGTTAGTGTAACCAGTATCCCATGAGTTCCAAAGTAATTATGGCTTGGTGTGATTAAGGCCGCAGTTTGCGACCAAAAGTTGAGTTGTTGTCAACGCAACTTTTAGCGACAGGTGTTGAGGGAAATGAGTGGAATTTGTCATTTTGACTCATATCTGTGGCTGGGTCCTTCTGGCATAATGTGCATAGATGATGTATCGAAAATACTGGTGAAATTAAGACAGATCGATTGCGGCCATTATCGCTGAATCTGATGTTGAGGGCTTGCACTTACCTTTTAGGCAAACAGGCCCTGGTAACCACTGTCAACCTCCAGTAGCTGAGACAAGGCGAGGTCTTCACAGATGGACTGGACGATAGAGTGTGGTTTTGCTGCAAATTCAAGGTCAAACTTTTGTTGTGGACTACAAACAGTCCACATTCAGTAGGATATGACCATGTCCAAAAGATAGTTATTTCGGAATGTTTTCACTTAGTGGATATTATTGAATTTGAAAAGGCAAGAAATTCAATTTCCAAGCAAATGACACCTAATCCGCGATGCGTCCCATATACTGACATCGGTTTGTTACCGAGATGCACCGTGACCTGAACCGACCGCATGTGATCATATTGGGTGGCAGGTTTTTATCGTAGTTCCAGAGTTGTGAATTTCGGATGCATGCGTGTCATGTGTCATATTCAGTTCACTTGGATTGACATTCCTAAAATGGCCGGTGAAATCTGACTGCAGCCAGGAGCCCGTACTGACCAAAGCCACATTTTATATCTTGAAATTTACGTGTTCATCACGTGCTAGCCGATCATTCGTCAAGTGCATGGCAGCAGTTTAACTGTCACTGTTTTCTTGTACGTTCCTGCCATCTCTGTTTTTCTGTAATTCAGAACGACCGAGGTGCCTGTGACCAACCGCAGAATGGAAGATAATCACATTATGGGGGCGCCAGTGTTTCGATCCTCGAGTGTCTCAAAGATGCCATTCGTACAAGAAACGGGTAGTTTAGAGGAGGATCGCCTATCAATACAACGGTCGGAGCCAAGTGTAACAGCGTCCGAGGGAAGTTCTACCGATGGTCTTTCGTTCTACACCCGTGGAGATACACCAAGCCCAGCTCCCTCTATTGGTGCGGCCATTCTCAGACCTAATGTTTACCCTGGGACGTTGAACGATAGGAGCTTGCGCAGACGTCGCCAGCCCCTAGATGTCTCGGACTACACCGTGTACAGTAGCGTACCACGTGATTACGCACTTGCAAAACCGCCCGACGTCGGTCAGTATGCAGCTGCGGAGATTGACAAACTCTGTGACATTCCGCGGGTGAGTATACAAGATCGAGTATGGGAATTCATATTGCACCTGGTGGATTATTTTTTTATGATCAGGAAACTATTGGAAAGTCGCTTCATCCCTATTGAAGCGAAACAGCACGACGTCCTCCAGGGTTCAGACGATGCAGCAGGAGATCTTCCCTCTTTGCAACTCCAGTCACCCAATCCATTATGCCACCATATCATGGTGGATCAGGCTGTGAACGGATGACTGTTCACTTGCTCTTATTGAAACACAGGTACTATTTATTTACGAAGACCAGTATCGGCTTTACTCTTTGCGTTGAAATTCTTCTCATGTGGTTTTTACCAGGAGTGCCATACAGGTCCTGTAAGCTAACATATGCTAACATGGATTGTTGGTCGATTAACTTTGTCTGCATATTCTTTACTCACATGCTTATACCCGTGAATGCACGTGCAGCCAGTATGGATGGCAAGTTTACCGGATGCTCCAGTTCAACAGACCACCAACCGGCCAGATCGACCAGGCCCAAAACGAAAATACCGTCGTCAGCTCCCAGAAATTCCTCAGAAAACCAAACCATCACAGGACGAAGATTACTCCAGTACAACACCTCTACAGCGTTTCACGTTTACCCCATTGAACCATATGGAAATACGGTTACCTGACCTCGACGCCTCGACGGTAATTCCCTTATATGTAAACTCCAGGTTTTTTTTCTATATCCAGTTTATTCCATCCTTGGCGGCTCCCAATCCAAAACAGTCCATAATCTGAAATAACTTCAGCTTTCGTATATTAATTGTATGGGATGTACCTGGGGCTTCTTGAATTGAATCACATTGTGTAGCCGCGGTATCACTGAAAGGATCATCTTCTACGTACTCGACCAGGCAGTACGCTGCAACATTTTTCAGAGGAAGCTAGTTTGTAGGTTTCTCCAGAGGAGACAGAGTATCAGTAATTCGAAAACGATTCCACAAGCTTCGCTACTGACTCTGTAGCCTGGATGGAGCATAAAAGTTGAGATACTGTCAGGTCGTCCAAACAGGATAAATGTGTGTCCTAGTTGAAAAAGACGGATAGGAGCTGCAGCTGAGCCTAATGCGAGGCAGACGAAGTAGTCCACTCTAGTGCACCTACCTGCAGTGATAGTATTCATTTGGGATGGTAAAAGAGGTAATACGTGAAAGTATTGGAAGGGGGCGTCAGCAGTGGTATGTTTTCGCTTATCCGCCCTACTGCATGAAGCAAGTAAGGCGGATCAGCTGACGACATCGAGTGATGGCCGATGTGGCATGACAATAGTTTCATTTGTGGCATCCATGGTTGTACGAGAGGTTGGATACTAGAAGGACGCCGAGCATAGTTCACTGGTTCAATAGGGCACACAAACCGGCACTCCGCGATAAGGTTCTGTCTGTTTGCAGCAATGGCCGGTTTTATTTGAACCAAAGTATTTTGGATAGTAGCTCACCTCTTAATGCCCGTGCCTTCCGTCCCACAAATGCATTACACTCTGAATCTCCTCCCAAAATTACTCTCAAACCTTATTCAGTAAATGTCGATAAACATCTGAAAAATGCGCACCTTGGATTTTCCATTGAAGCCTATCTGGTTTGCAAATATCTTCTGTAGACCCCCTTGGTTCTACCAAGCAGCTTCTGGAATTCTTTTCAATACAGTACGGGCGACTAGCGAAACGAATATACCAGGTGTGAGTTAATGATATATTCCGCAAGGACATTATATAACCGGAAGTGCCCCTCGTCCCACTTTGTTTACCAGACCCTTATTCAGAAAGTTTAATCACAGTTGTGTACAATTTCACCAAACGCCAATTGTATGTTTTTTACCAAATAGGTAACCAGGATGGGACTGAGTTTTTAGGCTAATGTTGTTGTATACTGCTTAGGGTGCAAACTTTACATGGCTACCATGGTAATTCTTCATATTCTAGGATCACCTGCCCAGGCTACCCGAATGGAATCATGATGTACACAAAAAAGTGGGGTGCGGAGGAATGCGGTACACGCGATAGCCAATCCTACACTTCTCCACTATCGCTATCCAAGCAGTAGTGTAATCCGAAGTCAGGATTCTCTTTGCTCAGAGACTCTCGTGTCCGCCGAGTTTAAAGCGAAACCGGATCCGAAACAGGGGATACAATTCCATAAGCTGAAGATTCAGGTCATTTATAGTTGGGTCAATTGTTAAAGTCAACTCAATTGCGGGTAAAAGTTTATTGCAATAAAATTACAACAAAATTACAGCAAATAAGCGTTCAAGCCAATAGTAAGTTTGACCTATCTGATGAACTCCAAGAATGCCGACGTCCGTAGTCGGCTTTCCAGAGTTGTAATCGGCCATATTGCTGAACAGAGGGTTACTCGGCAAACCACAACGGAATATTTTCAGATCAGAATAATCTTTGTTCATTGGTAATCAGTGAAATTTCTGTGATCACAATAGCGACTGGCTTGACATAAAAGCAACAAAGCGATGCGTACAAACGATTATTTAAAATCTCCTTTGTCTACTTAGCAATAAATAGATCAGGAATATAACTGTGTTTAATCGTTCCTTAAAATACTCTCAATGAAGGCTTTGACACTGCTCGTGTTATTTGTATCACCAGATTGCACAATAGGCAGATTACAAATCTAAAGATGAATTCCCACAACAAAATTTGGAAAACATTGATTTTCTGATAAGCTACTTTCCTTTCGAGGGTATAAACTGTTGGGTAATTTTTGGTCCATAGGACTGCGGTCTTTTCCGAGAAGTCTCGAAGAATCCTTCCGTAAAAGTCTTGAGTCGCTGACCCCGATCATTCATGACAAAAAACTCACCGGCCACTAATTTTCAAACCTTGCTTCAGCAGTGGGTCGAATACGCCGGGAATCTTTCGCCAACGGGTACTGCGCAACATGTTCTAGACAAACTGCCACCTGACTCCGCGCCTGCCATTTTGTACCAGCCACCATCCATCGACATTCACGGGCCTGCTCCGAGTATGCCATCTACTTGGACCCTGAGGGTCAATTCACCTTCACCCCGGCGCCACCACGCAGCTCGCACTCGTCATGTCTCCACTGGAAGCCTTTCACCATATGTTAACCTTTTATCTGAGAGCGCTACGGTTATTGGACCAAACTGGCTGGATCAGGTAAGCTTGTTGGCTATGACAATATGTCGAATTCTGAGTACCTTGGGTGCGGTTATTGACCGCTTATCAGGCGGCTGTTGATCTGTTTGCCGAGTGTGGCAGTTAGCTTGCAACCCTGACCAACAACGAATTGTTGGTTATGATTAACTCCGTCTGCACTTGGAGAAATTCGATGCGCCGATCGCCTGAACGACCGTTGTATGATGTTGAAATCACTCACCATACGTCCCAGGTGTGTGAAAAAAATAATCCCCGATAGCTAACTGAACAGCCCAGCTACTGGCGTGCCTCCTGTGGAGTCTAGTAGTTAACTAACTGTAGTTCACTCCATGAGCTATGCGAACCCATTGTACCTCAAATAGTTGTTCGTTGCTTGAAGAGTGGACTTCCTCGCCTTTTCAGACTGACTGTTGCGTTTCATACTACTTATAACGTCAGTCTGTGTGGTAATGACTCAACAAATTAATGGGTAGTCTTGATGGTAAATAGGGAAGTAGGCTGTGGGTCACAAAACGGAAATCTTTAATTATGAAAGGCAGCTCGATGATTAGGGAGCAGCTCCACGTTTAGAGCATTCAGGCTAAGGAGTATCGGTTCTAATAGTGTCATCTCCCTGAATCTCCCACGATGGTTGTGTGTTCAGTAATACTTGGTCTTTGTGAAGTTCTAAAAACTGAAAATTCTGCTCCATTCTGCCACAGGAGTAGTTCCTTTTCAACGAGCCACCGAATTGGCACTCCATGCAAATGTAGATGTGATCACGATAAACACTCTACTTTGCGCATCAATTGGGTTTTCGCGAGAGACTCATCGGAATCTCTTTTAAGATGATATTCTTCAACCGAATGTGCCACACAAAGGCTGCTTCATGTTTCAATTGAGATATCACAGTATATTTTAATAAAGTAAACTACTCACAAAGTTGCTGAAAACTCTGACAACCCACTGTTGAAGAGTCCTCAGCAACCTTGTAAGTAGTCTCCTTTATGAAAATAACAAATCTGTTCGGCACAGATCTATGGTATAATGTGTATTGTGACAGATTGGCAGCATGTTTTCAGTGATACCCTCTTGTGTCCCTCGAGGAGCTAATAGGAGCCCATTGCGTTTGCGGCTATAGAACAACACCGATGACTGAGCATTTGAGCTCCTAAGACCTCATATTTTTGTACTTCTTTTATTCGCAAGTGTTTTCTGGCCTAGTTGGCATCGTTGTATGACGGTGAAATACCATTTTTAATGAAAGGTTTTCAGATAACGATTTTGAACATTCTCTGTTCCAGCTGACAGATGGGGTTACATTGGATGAGCTTCAAAGTGCGATGGGACGCAGTAAAGCGCACGGAGTACTGCAGTGGGATAAAGCACCCGAACTAGCTAGTGATTGGACACGTCTGCAGCCTTGCGAGATCCCAATACCACGAGCATCGTCACCTCCTCCACCTCCGGCACCAGATCCTGTGACCTTGGTGGATCGTCGATTCGGTGGAAAGCGATCTCAAGGTGTCACGTCGCTCAACTGTATCTCGGGTAATCCTGATTCATTTGGCCGGTTTCGCGTTTCTTCGCGTTCCGAAAACTCATCGGCTCTGATGGATGGCCCAAATCCCGCTGTTTCACGCATTCGACTGCTTCCCAGGTCATCGAAAGACGGATTTTTACCAGCTGGACTGGAGGACAACCGTCAGTTAAGTGCGCCACCCTACACACAACCACCATTCACTCAAAACAATAGGCAAAGGTTCGTTTACTTATGGTGCTCCCATGTTGAAAAATTATGAATATGTTTGGGGACTTCGAAACCAAGGAACTGAATTTTAATTAAGATGATGGTGTTATTCTGGTCCATCTTATTGTAACCTTAGTCTCATTTTTCATAACCTTTGAACTTCCGCAAATGTTACTATTCGGTTCTCCGATTTCAACTTTATTTTATTAAGATCCTTACTCCACGATGAAACAGGCCATTCCATCGCATAAACTAGAGGCATCATGAGTGCTTTATGGCCTGTTGACTAATCAAAGCAATAGGGTTACAGTTATCTTTGCAGCTGTTGGCCGTAATCTGAATGACACGCAGTTAGCCCAATGAGTCATTTGTGCACCATGATGGTGAAGACGCTATCGGACGAATATCATGGCAGTAGTGCATAATAATTTTTCAGTTCCTTGTTGTTCATCCTGAAAATATCTTCGCGCTTCCGTAAATTCGGGTGAGTAGACCCGTGTCCTGAGTTGCCAAACTGAAACTAGCTGGTACTCCTTGCTCAGTAGTCCCTGAGTGATTAGGCAATCATGAAGCTAACAGATCGTCGCAACCAAAAAATACCGTAGTAGTTGTACACATGAAACTCAGAGTACCCATATACCAAGACACCGTAATACATCACCATCACCATCCACAAAAACGTCGTCACAGATTTGCATACTTACTTGCTTCTCAGGAGGCATATGATCAGGGAATTACTCTACAGTTCGTATACTTGACAAACATATTGAATTTGAACACATGTGTACAATGATGGAGAGCAGCCGATGGTTGCAACCGAACCTCGACAGAGACAACGATATTTGGTTCGTGCCATTCTATAACATTCACTAAAATGCATTTGTCCTCTCAACTTTCGTTCCGGTGACACCTTCAGGTGGATCTAAAAGTCAGATGCACGCAGCAGTCAATACTAAATTTGTTTGATTAGGTCAGCTACTTAAATACCGCAAGTAGCTTGTAAACAGATATCGGAAGATGGGCTGGTGAATAAGTTGTTTTCGTAAATTCTTCACATATGTAATATGTGGAGTAAAAATACAAAATTTTCGAATCCAAAGAGTATCAAAACTTCGTTGTTGAGGACCCTGTGAATTTCGCATCACAAAAAGTAGTGTGCGCACTGCATCCCCTTTAGTAGGAGTAGGGGTGAAGTGTATCTGGGCTTCTGATGATCAGTTTAGCTAGACAGCTTGCATAATCTAAGGTATTTGGGCTTATTGGCTTATCGGTGTGGATATTGAGCGGCACAGGACTGCCTTGGATCGTGTCTTAGGTGTGCGATAGATAGTTTGGAAGACGTTTTTGGTCAGTTTGGTGCTTTGTATCAAGCACAGAGCTCCATCCCTGGCTTACACTGCCCGCATTCATTTGAGCAGAATGAGCGTGTCACCGCACACAATCGGTGAGTCATCGGATCGTGCGGACAATGTATAGTGGTCCACAGCTGCAAGCGTAATCCAGGAAATCTATATTAACATCCCTTGAAGCCAAGGAATGGTTTGATCCTGCCGACTTGGTCACAAAACACGCAAAACGATAGATCCGGGGTTCATTCTGTTGTGAGAGTTTAAAAACTGCTTTCATGTATCGATAAAGCCTTATTATCTTGACTACTTCCTTCAAATTCAGTAGCTCGTAAAAACTTTCTAGGTTTGCCACTGTCACTAAAGTTAACTTCCTTGGTAGCTTGGTTGCATCACATTCCAAAATAGTGTCAACGAACGTAAAACTTAAGTGGTTCACCTATACATTGACGTCAAAAATGTAGGCATGGTTTAGTGGAATAACTTGAAATTCAAAGAGATGCGAGGCACATCACTCGGAAGTCCATTACTTTTCCAAAAGTTTCAGTTGCACCGGGCTCTCGTCAGACCGCTTTCGATTCACTGGCATTCCTTGGGTAACAATGGACAAGTCGGATGACGGTCGTGCATCAAGGACACACATGTCCCTAGTTAGGATGTCATGTGCAAGTATTACACACTATGTAAAAGTAATTGGCTTGGAATTACATTAAGCAGGCACAGATTCGTTTATCAGATTCTGCCCTGGCTAAAAACACTTTGTAGGGACCAGCAGGGCTCGAAAAACTCAATATAGTCTTTCGTGTTGTGCAAAAATCCATCGCGACGTAAATGTGTTCGCGTTTCACTCATTCACAGGTGCAAATCGCCTGGTCAGTTAACATCATGCGCCTTTGGTAGATTAGCAGAAGAACCCGAGAGCTCAGTTGCAAAGTTCAACATTTTGGCTGCAGGAGACACATAAACCGAAAGTGTCCGAATCTGAGTCAGACTAAGTTTCACAGAAATACATCATGATGTGTTTTGTCGGCATAATTCGCAGCGGACTGTGATTTATTCGAGGTATTCATCGTTAACGCACCTTTTAACAAGCAAGTATACTAATTAAAAGATTCCCATAGCTGAAGGTAATCAGTGGCACTGCGTTTTTTCAATCAAACAAATGCCATACAAAGCGCTTATGTCCGTGCCAGTTAATTCCACGGCATCGCTCTAGTAGTATTTGGTCTGTTTGAACTTGCTAGTATTGAAGCATGTTTACTATTCTCCCATCTATATTTCCCTTTCATTGCAGAGTCTGAATGAGCCATGTGAATACTTACCAGCAGTTTACACCTACAGCGGAGTCTACTGGGGAGACGAACAATCCCAATAGAATGACAAAACCATATTTGATACACGGCGCGGTCGCAGTACGCAATTTTTATGGTCCCTACTTGGCTCAACCAATACCAGCTGTTGCGAATTGCATGAACCCTGAGTCGTTCAGTGCCGTTTCTATTTTGCTATCAGTCAAACAGGATACCCATTATTTTTAGGCCCAGGTGCTCTCTAGGTGTTCTCTTCCTCTTTGCGACGTGCTGAGGAGAAGTGAAATCCTCCAAACATCCGTTTTTCGCCTGCGCGACATATTGTGCAGTTTTTTCCGACCCAACCATAGAACATTACTCATGCGTCCCGTAATAGACCCCTCTGTTTTTGTATCCCTCAGGATATTTCAATTCTTTCTTGCCGTACTTTGCGAAAAGTGTCGCACTTGTAGACCTAATCATGCACATGACCAACTACGCGTACAGAGTTAGTTCCGCTCGCAGTGACTTCTACCGATTCTACATATATTGATCTAAAAATAAACAATAACGAGTATCCCAAAAGTATATTTGTGTATCTGGTGATAAAATATAGCCTCTTGATTAGGCAGAATAATAAATTCAAAATACGACTCTACATTTTGATTGGTATGATTCACATTTCAATATTTACTACAGTGAGTCCTGATGAAAATAGAAGATAAGAAATGAGGAAGCAAAAATCCTTTAAAACGTGAACATTTGCAACTTGACAGCCGTGCGCAAGTTGTGAGATAGATAAGACATCTAACTCCGTGGGAATTTTCTCCGCGTGTATTACAAACGACCTATAAGTGAAAACAGAAACATCATGGTCTGATGTTCAAGTAATCAAACCGAACCTTCATGATCATCAGTGAATCGGTCTGGCATCAGTTCCCCAGTATACTGCTGAGACTTCTTCAATTTCGTTACCTCTAGATCATACAGACATCGCTAGGTACAGTACTCTCCGCTCACAAGCACTTGTCTCGAAAGGGGATACCCTCGGAAAATGGGCAGTCCAATATAGTAACAAGATTGTTTCCATTTAGATAATTAGATCGACCCCAAGACAAGCATTTTGAAGATGCGAATAGCCTGCTCATCCAACGTTAAGCGTGCTTACTGTACCAACTCCACAATATGCATAGCTACGTTCTCTTGTATACTTGGGATTTTTCCGTACCTGTACATTTGCATGGTGCATCCTAATTGTTCAAAAGCCTATCAGTCTGGCACTCGCAAGTAGGCAACACCAGTGGAGGACCTGGAAAGTGCAGGAGATGAGAGAATATCCATTTCTCCATCAACCCACGGGGTCCGTTCATCCAACTATGAGTTTCCTATTCTCAATATCCTCAAGCAACACCAGGAGATCGCGTCCCTATCGGTTTTCGATTCTGCAGGAGGGCTCTATTTCTTGCCGCACTCGAGGCCAACTGGTCCAAATGCTGAAAAGACAAAACTGTCGTGTAATAGACAGGCTGTAACCTAATCGGCTCAGAGCTGACATTCTTAGCATTACGAGCTTGTGTTGTTTGGCTGGGCCAATTTCGATGTAAACGATAACCTGTTAGAATCTAGAAGAGAAAACAAATCTACCCTGACAGAACCCTCGAGTTTCATGGGTCTTGCTCTGAGAAGTCAGTCACCATTAAGCTGAGTGCCCTGGAAGATAGTTAGCCTCATGACCTACCGAAGTTCGAGTTAATCATACCACTGCTCAGCCACCCATAGGTAAATAATTTGAATTTTGTCAGGTTTCATAAGGGGATCCCAAAAAGAATCAATTAGTTCTTACAGGCTTTTCTGCACTAATTAGGAGGTAACATGCCGGATTAAAAAACCTGATTTCGCAATAAAAAAAGCTGGTGTTGGAATCAGTTTACGCTCGATAGTATTTCGGAGAAAATCCTCGGCTTCTTGCAGCCGCATGCGATCGAAAAAAATTGTCAAAGATTGTTTTTCAGTGGGAAGTCGTATGGGCTAATCGACGGGCTCCAGAGGAAGAGCCTTGCCTTGATGATTGGGAAGTGAAATAAAAGCACTATTAAGTGATCTCTCGAGTTAATCTAATCAACTGTGAACCCAGGGTTTAAAGTTCTAACCCTAGACCAAGAGGTCCATAGTTCGAATCCGCCTCACACCAATCCCCGCGTTATGCGATCCGATTTCAACCCACAATTTTAATAAAGTTTAGGCTACAACAATGCGTTGAAATGCCAAAATGTTTTGTACTTCCTCCATGACTTTCGATCATAACTCCTTTAACGGGCAAGTCGATAGTATGATACTACTGAAGACCAGGAATAATTTGAAAACAGCGTAACAACAAATGGTCAAGGAGTTGCACAGTGTGGGGGAACCACGAGGAAGATCGGTTACGTGACTTCTTATGGATTCTGAACTCTCCCAGAAAACATGACACACTGCGGCGTGTCAGACTAGGAACGCTGTTTTGAACTCTCCTACATATTGAGGGTCGACTGTACTTCGGAACGACTTGTCCTGGATGTAACTACTTCCGGCGGTCACACACACAGAGGAATATAACTTGAAACGATGGATTACCTGAGCGGTGGCAGCAACAGCAACAGGAATGATGATGGAAATGATGATAGCTGTGTGTGTTGTAGCTATAGTACGCCAGTGGGTATGTACTTGAACGGTTGTCCTTCATACAGTAATGTTCATTCCCGTATCTCGGTGCGGCAGTTGATGCCCATGAGCTAGTGTACGCTGGAATCATAGTTGATGAACTGTCATAACGAAAGTTAGAAGACAGAGCTGAATCGCACACAGAAGGCCACAGGGGACGACCGCAGGAACATTTGTCCTTTCCAACGTTCCTGTGCGCCATGGCGGAGAATCCGTACCTCTCCATTGGGGGGCCGATCAGATCAAAGCTAGTTTTATAGTTAGGTTGGCGGTTGTATGGTTCGATTAGATCGGGTCTCTAGGGCAAAAAGAAAGAGAGTGAAGAGGTCAATCTTTATGAAATTCTAGATGTACCCCAAATTTCCTTCAACTGTGATTTTTCTAGGATACATGGACAGTTGCTACTAATCTGCGCACTGTAACATGCATTCATTTGAGAATCCTTGTCCTAAATTGGTCATCTAGTGCTTCTAATTCGGCAGTACAGCTGTCAAAATCAAAGAACAGTTACTTTTGACCTTGGTAAGAATGGACATGATGGTAATAACGGTAGTCGCAATATTGATGTACCAGTACGTACTACTGATGAACAAGCAATTAGTGACTGGTCGTTGGCTTGTTCGCTGAGCTGGACAATTTGATTGCAAACGTATCATCGCCGTCGATTTGTTACTGGCCTCTTAGTCTCCGCTTATTCAGTAGAATTAGGTCGTATCACAGGGCCAAGCATTTAACTGAATTTTTGCACTTGATAAACCCCATAAACAGTTCATTCTGTAAAATTCTGTAAAATCCATCGAGCGATGTGCGGTGGTGGCACATTGATGGTATTCGTTCGCCTCCAACTCGTTGGAGAATTTATCTCCTAGCTCTTCAGAGGTCTTCAATCGATATTTCGTCATGTAAAGTCGAGAGGCTTAAAAGCGCTGTGATGCCTTCTCATCTTTCTTTGCAGTCATCAGCACTATGCACCTCAAGAATCGCCGGATCTAGTTGAACGCGCGAGATCACCAGTCCAACTCGACTCAGTCATTCAATGTTTGTGTTCGTATGGCACAAGTTTGGTGAACTAATCCACCAATCACACCGCTCGAAGTCCAGGCTTGTTTATCTTTGCCATCAGCGTATGCTGTTAGTGTAGTATAACACGCCTGCTCTGCATGTTGTGACCGAAGTTTATGTTTGTGAACAGCCAACGATACACACTACTGATAAACCTTCATAACAGCGATATTCCGGTGCGGAATAGTCAGCCTCAGCAAACCAGTGCAGGAAAAAGATTGTCAAATGTTAGTTGATGAAAATGCAAATTCTCAGCGTACCTAGTAGGTCAACCCAACGGAACACAGCTCGTGATCAAGTGTTCAATTAGTAAAACCTCCGAACTTTTTCACTAGTGACGTTCAGCTTAATTATGTTATTAAAAAACGGGGTTGGAGAGATATTTTTCTATACTAACCAGCTGGGCTTATTTATTCGTATATCATTGTAATGCATGACAGCGTGTAATCTTATCAGCTATGATAAAACACCTCAATTCGCTCAGCTTTATCGTACGGGATTTGCTATCCGGTGCCCAGGTAATATCCCAAAATATCCAGGGTAATCCTGATTTGACACTACACCTATGAACTTTTGCACCTCATCGGAACCAATATGATGATTGTAGAGTAGTACTAATGGAACGAACGCATAGTATGCACCATCGTCATCTATTTACGTACAAGGTTGGGAATTGAATCACAGCAATACATTCGTGAGAAACGGAGGCGAGATGGTATTTACGAGTATTGTCAGAGATCAGTCTAACCCTATCATGACATAATCTTCTGTGACAAGCGCTACTGCATTGCGTTGAAACTAGCATAATCCAGAAGGGATCTCTATTTGTAACCACCGGATTACACCAGTAAAGCAGTTGTTTACTTTACAAGAGAACGCCTCCAGGAGAACGAGTTAACACTCTGGCACTTTTATAGCTCCGAAAAGATAATAAAGAAAGACGTGGACAGAATAACATTTTATCAAAAGAATACCAGGAAGTGATTTGCATTGCGTTGTGGTCTGCCGTTCTCGAGTTTGATTAGTTGTTTGTACCGTCCTATATCCTCCTATTTCCTCCACCACAAATGCAGGCAAGGAAGAAGTACCCACTCAACTGCGCACTGATAATACCGGGAAGTCAAACGTTTCCTTGTGTACAGTAATAACAGTGAAGAAAGCAATAAAATACCTAAATAAAAGTGCCCATGTGCTCACCTTTACGTCACTGAATCGGGCGCTTTGCTATATATATATATATATATATATATATATATATATTCCTCGTGTTGTTTACGAGTACCTATAGGTCTACCTCTGGTGTGATGAACGGTAGCGTGTGAAGTACACTTGATTCGACTGATATGTCATCTGACCATCTTATTTGTACTCTTAAGTAGGCGTTTTTGCGAGTAAACCGAACCTTGTGACTTTGGATACTTTATATTTTTCAAAGAAATGATGCTACCCACTTCTTTTCATCCGCTCGCCTAGATGGCTTGCAAACCAATATAATAAAAAATAAGCAGCAATGAATAGACTGTTTCTAACCATCTGGCTCCAGTTACCTGGATCATACCCCTGTCTCTCTTAGCCATTTCGAGTGCGGCTTCTGCAACACTCTTGGCCGGAAGGAAGTCATCCTTGAGTGCCTGAGATAGTGTGTCTGTCTG